GCTCCTAATGCCACCACTGACCTGGAAGGAGAGGAGCATATGCCACGAAGAGAGCAGTGGCGAGTGCTGTACATACAGATGAAGCTTTGTTTGCTGACCCACCGCTCACCTCCTGCCTGGTTCCTAACAGGCCACACGGACTGGTACCAGTCGATGGCATGGAGGGTTAGAGACTGCAGTGCTAGTCCATACTGCTCCGTATGTTAGATATGGTATTATAATAATTAAAATAATGTTTTCTGCTACTGTTATTACTACTACTATCTGGAAGAGGCCCGGCAAAGCTTCATTATCTTCACAGCTAATCCATCCTTATAAAATAAATTTCAGCAGCACCATTAATATGTCATACTAAAAATCTGAAAGAAAACAAGTTTATTTATAACAACATATATGAATTGTGTTTGTTTGTTTTTTTTTCATGGCATCTCAGCCTTATTCATTTTATCTCAGATTTAGCTGTATCATCAGAGACTAGATGTCTCTAAGATATTAAAGTTAGTGCCATAATGATGTGTAGAAAAATCACGGTGTACATTTAAAGTGGTTAGGTAAATCTTGGAACTAAATTACTTCAAAATAACTTAGACATTGGGAAGTAAATGTATCAATTAGAGAACCAATGGTAGCATGGAATAGGCAAGGCTGGAATGACTCAGTATGAGAAAAGTACCAGCAGTCTCCAAAGGGAGAAATTTTGAAAAGTTGTATCTTAGCCCTACACACCTCTATCATTGGATGTTTCACATTGAATTGAAATTCACTCTAAGTGTTTATTTCATCCACCAGGACATGAACTACTTATGTCCCTTTATATTCTTTCTTTCTTTGTACTACAACTGCCCACAGTAGACCATTTGAGTGAGTGAACTAATGTAGAAATTGCTTTAAATGTGAAAGGAATTACTTTTCATTAATTGTACACATTGAATTGCATGCTAACAAGACTACATTAAAGAATGAAAAACATTTGATTTCTCATGAGGGGGCTTAATAAAAGGGGAAAAAAGAAGGAAAAACTAATGTGGTCATATATTTTTAAACACAGTTAATATAATAAATTTTATGAGATCAATTCTGGGTAATTTAACTTAACTCTCAAGTAACCACTCTTTCCTCCTAAGATTGCTATTATTTGAAAATGTTGAATAATTCCAAGTAAGTTTTAGGAAAGTAAATATCCAAAAAATGTAAGGATTCAAAGAATGTTAAGGACTCCGTTAATTGGACTTAAGGAATATATTTATATTTTGTACTGGAGTTGTTTGCAAATGTTGGCTATATGGGGGGTAGAAAAGACCTCAAGATATGAATCTTTTTAGTTAGATTTTTACTTCATCTATAGTACATTTATCCTGTCACCTTTAAATATTCAGTATTTAAAGAAAAAGAGTCTTAAAATTTGAATCCACCCCCCCCCACACACACACAGTCTTGTCATAATTTAACAAAGCTTTCAGTGAAGGAATCTATAAAAAAAAGATAATGTTATACCAGAAAACCCAGCAATATTTTAACTACCTTCCACTGAATTGGACTATTGTGATTTTATTTTTTTAGCACGTTCAGTTCTACTGAAGAATTTTTTAGTGTACACATTCATTCTAAAATAATTTATATCACATTATTAAAATTGAGCATAGATAAACTTTGGTTCGGATACAATGAGAATAAATACTATTAGAGACTCAAATTTGTACTCTATTAACTTCCTTTACTATTGTAACAGTAAAACTATTAACAGAAGTTGTGTACGAGTTGATATTTGACTTTTAAAACACGGAAGAGTAGTGTGTATTTCTAGAGATGTATTCTCTGTTTTGTTATTAAAGCTTTAAAATCATTATTACCCTAAGAAAGCCTATGATTTAAATTTTACCCCAAATTTGTTAAAGACAAATATTTTCTCACCCACATTTCTTTTCGAATTTCTATTTCATTTAATGGCCCCATTAAACATTTATTACTGGAGGAAAAAAACTGTCAATCTGGAAAGAAACAAAAACTAGTAACAAAGGAAATGGATGTTCCCTTACTTATACACCATGAAAAAAAATCACTTAAATTCCTTTTCCTACTTAATTGTAATACTCTAAAATGTTCCCAGGTTTCCTAATTGAAGCTGTCAAAAAACTTCTCTTATTTGATTTAGCTGTTGAGTGCACACCAAGTTCATTGTGAAAAAGTTTATGTCTAGCAGTTCAATTCTTCAGTTCTTGGTTAAAATACTATGGGTATAGCAATTTCCACCAAGTTAATATAATTAGATTTTAAAAGTTTTAATCTTAAAAGACAATGTTTTACAGATAATCTGTGGCAACAAGGAAATTACACATGCTTATATTCTAATCTTGATTTGAATAGATACAAAAATAATCAAGATTTTCACGGCAAAAAAAGTCTAAACTATAACAAAACACTGACCTTAAAATTTTAGAGAAATGGGTTCTAAGCTCATCTTCGCCATTACTTCCAATGTTGAAAAGGTCAGTTCTCTTTTTTATATGTTTGTTAGTAATAGTCTTTATAAATAATATATGAATAATAATATAAGAATAGGTGAAAATAGGAGCTTGAACAGCTCCTTCTAACATTAAATGATATTATTTTCTCACTTTATCCTGTGCCTCCACAATTTATTTATCATCAATAAGTCCTGAGATTTGTGCTGATTTTTAATGAAATGGTTATTTTAGTATCAGGAACTCTTATTCACTAGCTCACACAGTGCCATTAGAATAATGGTATTAAATAATAATAAGAAGAGAGTATTAAACTGAATTACAAAGCTTAGGAGTTCAATTTACTTACAAATGCTATAATTTTTGACATCCTTATTGAAAATACTCAAAATCAAAAAAAAATGATAGTCACTAACAAATTGTTTTATTATTTTTTTTAAATGGTAGACAATATTAAGCTAGTCTATGTCTTTTGGAAAAGAATATGAAGAGGAGAATTTTAAAATAAATTAAAATAAGGCAAAATATAAACCTAATGGATTAAGAAACTTTTCATAACATTTTCAGAGATATTTTGGGGCACTTAAATCTGTTCAGTTGCCCGGGAAACCATATTGTATTCAGTGATCATAAAATTGCCAATTAAATAAAAATTTATTTTTAGAAAACAATAATTCCTTTAAAAATTCCTATTGTCACTCATCTGTAATGTCCAATAATATTAATTTTAATCATTTGTGATTTTGTCTAATTCTGTAATTTTAGAGGCTGAAAAACAGTAATCTCTCGGCAAATATTTCACCATTGAAAGTAAATTTCTGTATAAAACTGAAATTAGAGAACCTAGATAAACTAAAATAATTGTTCAAAACTCTTTGAATGTTGCTTTTACATATGGTTTAATTTCAGAGAAAATAGTTTAATTGATGTTTTTAATATAAAATTAAATATTTAAGAAAATAAAGACAAAACTTTGTATACTTACAAGTAAATTTCTCTCAAAATAAACATTCCATTTATCTACTAGTTATTTCATAAATACCAATTCCTGCAACCAGGGAAATATTTGTGAAAATACATTAAGAGGCCTGGTTGTGGCTCTAGATGCATTACTATCAGTAACCTACTATAATATCTCTCAATAAGAACTTCTCAGTATTTTTAGCCTCATGATGAATGTTTCTGCCAATATTATGACTATCAAAAGGAAGAGAATTTCAATGCATTTTTTGTCACCTATATAATCAGCAACTCCATATGCTACATTTACTCCTGGATGAGAATGGAAAATGAGATGTACTCCTTTCTGAGCATTTAACAGCTATAAGAATGACATGGAGTACATCCTTACTTCCCTCATAAAATGTTTAAATACATAATTATATTTTTCCAATCAATGGTCATACATGAGAGTTTTGATCACTCAGATAAATGAAGTACTCCTTGCCCAAAATGCAATTGCTTAGAATTTGGATAATTCTCAGATTAGTCCCTTTAACCCATAAACGTGTCCACATTTTCTAGTAAAGACACTAACTGTAACAATGTGAGTGATGGAAAACTCTTGTAAATGCACCTTCTCTTTGCTTTCTATCAAGATCTCAACTTTTTTGATCTATGCAGATTGAGTATATGAGATAATTGGAACCATGATTGACATAAGAGAAAATATGAGAGTCTTCTCAGATCTGTTAAGAGAAGTCCATTTGGAAAAAAGATAATAAAAAGTAGTAGCTAGGCAACAAGTTATTTACGTCATTATAAATTTTTAAGGAACCACTGAGAAAAAAATTTCAAAAATCAATTTTACACCTATGTTGTCAAATGTATCTAATGAAACATTTTTGGAACTGTTTAAAAATGACAATGATCATAAGGAATTCTAGCTTAAGAAACACATGGGAAAAGAATGTGGCTATAATTGCTAAAGATTCTCAGAAATGATACATCTTACATTATTTTATATTATATTCAAAATGGTAGATTTATTTTTTTAATTTCCATAAAACAGATAAGAATTTTGATTCATTTTTCAGAATTTCTTTGTGGTCTATTTGGAAAGATCCATTTCCCTGAACTGAAAAAAGAGGAGCTTCCAGACTTTAAGTACCTTTTAACTTCTACTAGCTGGTGTTTGAGGAGGCTATAATGTCAAAAATATAGCACCCAGTACTCTGGAATATGAAATTAAAGACCTGTGTTTTAACTTATGGAGGTTGATATGCATGAAAATTCTCTACAATTATCTTATACAAATATTTATATTTGTTAGGTCAAACCTAACTGAAGTTATAGAGATTATATAACTGTTATATCAATACTTAATACTGCAAAATACTTTAACTTAATACTGCAAAATAACTTGAATGAAAGAATTTACTTGTAAAACCATCTTTCTTAAAAGTAAATATATATGGTATAGCCATTTAAGAATTCTTCTCATATCTACTGTGTTGAAACATTACAATTTGTTTTATTCATTTTAAATAAAAATAATTAAGAAAACTGTTAAAATGTGGGGGGAAATATAAATGAATAATATTCCATTTATCAGAGCCCTTTTTGAAATATACATTTGAATTTCCAAAAAATTATAAAAAAGGAGAACTTAATTGAAAGGGATGGGTAGGGATATGGAACATAGTTCATAATACTTTTTAATCCTAAATCTTAAGTGTTACAAGTTTTATATACGCCATTACTTTTTAAAATGCACCAGCCTCTAATGTAGAGTTATTGATCACAAATGCTCAGAAAATAGACCTCTGCAGGCATTCTACTGCTTTGAGCTTCCGACCAGCCTCTTTCCTGCTATAAAGTGTTAAGAAGTTCATGTAACATGTTAGTGCAGCCTTCGAAGACTGTTCTAAACAAAATCTAGTCAGAAACACATGGCTCTCTTATTTTATCTTTGCATGCTCAGAAAGAAGAACGAGATAAATAAAACTGAGCTCTTCAAATAAGAATTTCAAAAGACCAAACTACATGAATGCATGGATCTATTTAAAGTAGGAAAACTAAATTCCCAACATCTTGCTAAAACTTCTGTAAAAATATATTTAAAAATACAATTCAAAGACTATAGGCAATAAAAGTATGTGTGGTAAGATGGATTCAGTAGATCACAATATTGTACATATCTCAGCCTCATGAAATCCTAGATTAGTTGTTGAGGGACGGTGGAGGCAATAAACTGTGCTATAACTTTGTTTTAGCCAATCAGACTTATGTATAGTTAAATCGTCTTTAACAATTGTAGTCATATAGACAAATTTCCATCTTTTTAATTTTAATCTTCATAAAAATATCCCTTTTGTTTTATCTGGAAGTAAGACAAACTCCAAAATGCCTTGGCCAGCTACTTTCTTTATCCACAGGGCCCTCTGCCCTTTACTGACACCCTCTGGTCCTTATCGCTAAGTCAGCTTTGACATTCAACCACATTCTTTCCTACCTTTATCCTGAAGGTGGCAAAGGTTGGCTAAACTGCTAAATAAAAAAAGATTTCTAACAATATATATATATATATATATTGGCCAAACCTGGGGCATTTCTAACAGACAGTTTTATTTAATTGGACACATAAGATTGAAGTAAATTTTCACAAGCTACTAGTTTTTAATGATCCTTCTTAAATAAACATATCCTATGTGTATGTTCATGATTTTATTTCAGTTCCTCTCCAAAACTTAATGAAGATTTCAGAACACCTAATAGTTGAAGTATTGCTCACTTTCTTTCAGCCATCCATTTAAAAATTCCACAACTGTAGCTTTTTGGATCTCTTTCCAAAAGCACCCTGGTATGTATGTGTCTCACAACTTACAGATTTAGTTGCCTTTGTAATCAGAGAGAAATTAAAATTAGTAGTTTTTCGTCTCACTTCTTAGTTTTCAGAAGTTTTAAATAAGAATAATTTAAAGGCTATACCAATCCCTACACAAGAGCATTGGCACTTGGAATAAATGTTTCAATGACTTTCTATTTTCAGATATGCTTTAATATTATTTCCTCACACTCCAGCTAGATTACTCATCAAATTTTATTTTTATATAGTATTTCCTTTTTTAACTTTTAACTCGGAATTTTATGTTTTTTTTATCTCCACTACACTTAGTTGATCCCTGTATATAATATATTTTATTTTTAATCATTTGCTTTATATGTCATATTCTTACATAGTCATATTATTTTATTTCCATTTGAGTCAGAGCAAACATATGCTTATCAAGTTTAAGTCTCAATATATTGGTCCACACATAATTTATAATAATTTGAGCATAAATAGGGTAATATACAAAGATAGGTGAGAATTGCTCAAAATTGACTACCAGCACTTTGGAAAAAAAAAAAAAAAAGAATGACCTAATGATTAGATTTCTAATGTTTCATATTTAGGTTCACAATATTAATCATGATGAACTTCTTTAAGCTCACTGTAATGTTCATTAGTGTTTCTGTAGTTCTGTTGCAATTCAATAGTAATCAATTATGTATCCATTAATTTTTATGACTTTGTTTTATTTATTTATTTTAATGCTGGTACCCTAATGAACATCTTATTTCATCCTTATTTGCCCAGTTAAATTTGAGAATCAAAGTAGAAGTGTGGGTCCTCTAAATGATTTCCCCTTTTCAATTAAGAAACAGATGAATTGGATGTAGATAAAGCATTATACATACCACAGTTTTAAAAAGTTTTCTGCTTCCAAACCTGCATTAAAATTACCACATGAAATTGTATTTTTCATACTAGAAAGGTTATAAATTTTAAGCATAAAATAATTCTAATTTAGTGCATTCCTGGTTCTTTCCAAAATAAATTTAGTTAAAACAACTTAAAATGTTCAGGTCTTCAGAGTAATTCCCAGTTTTTATTGTATGTCATGTTCATATAAGTGCAAATTAATGTTCTCTTCTACTTATCCCAATAAAAAACTATTTTTTAATCTATCGCAATACTATATAACATTTAGAAAAAAGCTCAGCATAATCCAAGATACTGTTTTCCTCAGTCTCCTGAACTTTGTAGAACTCCACTTATAAAGCATCCCTATTGAATTTTAACAAGTTATTGCACTGCCAGATACCCAGATATTTGGCTTCTGTTCTCAAAAAGACATTGCTCAATCGTAAGACATACACTCACTACCTGACAACAATATCCTATTTTCTGAACATTTAGTTTCTTTTGTAGAAACATTCTTACCCTATCCTGGGATCTTTCACCTTACAATGTATTTTTAGGAACCATATACTCTTATTTTGGGTAGTACTAGGAGACACACAAATAGGTTATATTTACTCTTGCTTCAACTTTTAGACATAAAATCCCAACAGAGATTTAAAATAGCATTTTTTAAAAAGCCTCATCTTACAGTTTATACGTTCTGGCAACATGGCAAGGAAAGGATGGCTTTGCAGAAGAAACGAGTGTGTCAAAAAACCCTAACTGGCTGGGAGATGAAGTGCACAGTCACAGAAAGCAGTCACTGGCAAAGGAATGTCAGCCACTTACCAATGAGATGCCAGACTCCACTGTCCTTCCTCTGTGACTCTCAATTCCTGTCTCCCATCCTCCTGCCCCTCGGCACAGTTCAGACAGGGCAGTGCCTCTCGGTTCCTTCCCAGCCTGTGGCAGAAGAGAAACTGCGGAGTTCTTAATCATTCAGAGGGAATCCTCCGGCTCGCCCTGCCTCTCCCAGCAGAGGGGACCCAGGTAACGCATCCTTTCCGCCTCGAGCTTTAATGGCACTTTGGGCTGCCGCCTTCTCGCAGTTACGCTCCCCCCACTCCGTAGTTGGTTATATTGGGAAGTAGGTGCGGCGCCTCCTCCGGCTGGTGTGTTTGGGGCTCGCGTGCCGTCCGCCAATGCGCCCGCGCGCCCCGCGCCCCGCGCCTCTGACTGGCTGTGTCCTCCCGGAGCGGCCCGCGCCCCTCCCCGCTCGCCCGCGCCCCGCGCCTCGCTGCCTCGCGCGGCGAGGGTTCATTTAGCATGTCCCCGGGCTTGACGGGCTGCGCGCCTCACGAAGGGTTTTCATGCGTTTCTCCGCTCGTCTCGCTAGTCAGCCGGCATTCTCCTCCCCTCCCAAGTGCAGAGGGCTTGCCCCCCTTCCCCCTGCTTTTCTGCTCTGCAACCCTTCCGTATTTAACATTCACAGATTGCAAAGCAAACGTGTTGGCTGAGCGCGAGAGTCCCTTCCTCTCCTCGCCTGCTTCTGTCTTTTTTTTTTTTTTTTCTGATTCCAAGAGCCTTTGGCTTATGCCTCTGACAGCAGCAGCAGCAGCAGCAGCAGCTCAGACTGATGCGTTCACTTGGGTCAGTTTGAGAGTGGACTTTTTCACTTTGGAGAATTTTCTTAGGTCCTAGATGGGAAGCACTTCTCTCTCCCTCCCTCTCTCTCTCTTTTTGTTTATATACTTGGCGAGTTTCATCTAAGGACTATTAGATGCCTGTTTTGATTTCTTCTTGATTTTTCTGTGTGGTGTCAGTTCTCCAAAAAGCTAAGGAAAAGTCTCAGACAGCGGCCCTTTCTCTCAATTTTTATGTCACAATAGCTGTAATTGGAAAAATAACACAGGTAGTAAATCCACAGTGTGGCAGCTTTAGTGCCATTGTTCTGCCAGTCCTCCCCTCTACTTTTCCTCTCTGAGTCTTTGAGTGATTCTCCAATTCCCTCGATTGGTCTGATGGTAATTGAGTATTTGTTAAATATATTATATTATATTTCTTTTGCGATGTATTTCCTCAGAGAACGTGGTTTGCATCTGTATTTAATGGAAAGGAAATCCCACGTACTGTTTTCCGTTTCTGTGTGTCTATCTGTGAAACTGCATGGGAGTCTGGGTCACACCCCGTGTCCGTCGGTGTCCGTCTTTCATGTGTGATTGAGTCCAGCCTGCCCTGCACTGAGGCTGATGCCTCTGCTCACTTAATCCCCCGATGGGGTCTGACTGGCTCTAATTGGCAAGGAGGGTACAGTGCCATGCAGCCTGTAGCTGGAAGTCGTCTACCACTAGCTCTGTGTTCTTTCTCATGCAGCTTTTCTGGTAATTAAAATTAGTCTTTTCCTGTTTCTTGGCTTCTTCTCATTCATCCACGGATATTGTACAAACACCCCAGTCTCTGCTTTTAATCGCTACCCTCAGGACCTACGCTGATTTCTTGTTCCGTTGCAAAGACAAATTTGTGTGCATTTAATGCTCCTCTACCCTTCCATACTTTTTATTTTCTTGTTCCTGCTCTCCAGTAATTAGGTTGTTTTCTTTATGTGTTAACTGTGGGGTTGTTGCTGAGATTCCACTTCTCTGGCTTTTTCTCTGCTCCACCGACTCTACTCCAGCACCAGTCTGTGGGTTCACAGAATCACCAGGACTTTAATAACCTCTTTAAATATGTCACAGAATAGATTTCAAGTGTAAGAGCTTTAAAGCATTTTGTATATTGTGCAATGAGTTTTTTGCCTTTCCATGTTTACAATTGGGCACACACAGCCTTAAAGGGGGTATAGAAAGTGAGCTTGCTGTTAGTTTTCTTCCCTTTCTAGAACACCTTTCTATTAACACATAAATTTTGGCATTTTTAAGCCAGTGTATCATATATGTCTTATATTTTCTTTCAACTAGCTTTGTTCCAGAAAGAATATAAGTTGGGTTATACAAATTTATTCAATTAAAAATGAATAAAAAATGTAGGTCAGTGAAATCAAGACAAAGGGTGAAGTGATATAGTAAGAGAGATGAAATGAAGCCAGACGTGAGGTTTATAGAGAAAACTTCATTGAGGTTTTATTAGAAGTTGCCCTAAGGTTAACCATTAAGATTGTTAGTAGCCAAGGTAAAGAAAGAAACACTGTCAGTCACATGATTCGTGGTACCCTCCTACAATTAAAGAAAATTTACCTTTTTAATGATGTAAATGGATTAAATCTTTATCTCTTTTTAATCAAACAACTGAAGACTTACGATGTTTAACTTTTTATAAAGGGAGCAATATTACTGCAAGAACAGGGTGTGAACCTATTTTTGAAACAAGTAGATAATGTAATAGCACTTTACCTTTCTAGAAGCTATCTGATAAGTTAGAGGGAGGAAAAGGAGATGTTGAATCTGGTTAATTAAAAATAGTAAGATCTATTTCTGTCAGTTCAAATGTAGAAAGTTAACTTCAAGTGATTCTTTGGGGGTGATTAGGTTACCTGGCTACATTTCATTGGGACCCAGAAAGAATAACTATATTTATTCTCATTTTTGATATTTTATAATGTTCCAATTCATAATATTATGCAATTATATATTCTATATTAATATCTATGTATGTAATATGTCTAATATCAATCTCTCTGACTCAACTTTCCGAAAAATCTAGAGTTTTGCTGTTATGGATTTTTTGTGGTGTATATTTTTACAACATTGTGTTTGGAAAGTGAGGGCTCCATAAGATCATGTACACTTCTGTATCCTATTATATCCACAAGGTTCAGGTTTAAAGGTCAATGTCTGAAATTAGAGAAACAGCAGTGCTTAAAGTAAGAAACAGAATAAAATCTCCTTTTTAGAATTCCACCAAGAAGAAACAAACTAGCTTATGTTTTCTAAGTCCCCTGAGATCTTTTCACATATGTCATAACTAAGACTTTCTATTATTATTATGTGAAAATGGGGTTTTCTTAGGGTGTGTTTTTAAAAGACATGAAAGTATTTGTGCCTCATTATAAAATCCCAATGCTTTTTACTTAATAAAACAGCATTATTAAAAGATCACTTGTTTTTCTCTATTTCATAATGTTAGTGACATTTTTGAATTAACCAGCACATAACTAGCATATTGATGAAATATCATTTGATCATTAAATAAATTAAAAATATTGTTTGTACGTCACTTAAGTGGTTTATCGGGTTATTGTCTCCATGCAATGGGTATGGTACCTAAATGTAGCTGTCATGTTGATTATCTGATCTTGTTGTCTAGCCATCTTTTTATAAATGTCTTAATCTCTTTATCTTGTAGTCCCCAGTGGGCAAGGAAGCAGATGCGGCACATCTGTAGCAGTTGAGTTGCCTCTAAGCTTTTGTCTTATTTGTGTTCCAGATTTTTTTCTTTAAATCATGCCCTCCTTTCCCTGTCTTTTCATTTGACTCACATAAGGTTCTAGGTTCTAGTCAATAGAGCATAACTACTGTTATATCCCACCAAATTATAGCATAAAATGTAGGGAAACAAAGCAATTCTCAACTCAAATCTAGATCAATCGTCTTTTTGGGATCACTTACTTTTGCCTACTGGAGCTAGTTTTAGCATTTGCATTTTATGTTTTGATGTTTTAATCCTCTATGTTATATGTTAATAAGAATGGTAAACAGGAAAGTGCTTAAAGAAAAATAAAGTTAATGAAACAAAATCCATGTTGTCCATACACACCAGTATTGCCTATAAATATAAAAGAAAACATGAAGAATCAATAGTAAACTTTCACTTGCACTGGACAAAATATGATGATTTTAATTATATTTTGTGTTTCTTTGTACTTATTTCACAGCTGTTTTGGGAAAGCAGAAGTAAACATATCTTAATCTTACTTGGAAAATATACCAACTTAATTAATTTAACAGCTGCTTCAGTAAACAACACTAAAGAACATAGCCTACTTTGTGGATGTCTTGGAAACATCTGCAAGCCAAACCATTAAGAGGTATGAGAAAGAAGCTGTAATTTGATTGTTTTGGTGGTCACAGTACCAAATTCTGAATATAGAAGCTGCAAATACCTGACCTCTTCTAGGTGGAATTCATGCCCATTCTTTGTGTTAGACCCTTGGTCTAACAAAAATGTTTCTCCTTAGGAAAGAACAAAAACCACTGGAAATTACTAAGATTTTAGAAAACAGATACAATTTTAGAAAACAGAAGGAAAAGTTCAACTCTTACTAATTTAAAAGTAAAGTTTATTATAATACCTCTTATCCAGTGGCTGCCTTTAGATAAGCATTTCTATTTTTTTTTCTTGAATATATCTTTGGTCTCAGGGTTGCTATCAAATTTAAAACACAATCTTCTGTAAGTGTCTAATTACTATTTTGTGTAGCATTCTCTCACCACGATCTTCTCATATAAAGCTCTTTTTGTAAAGGAACAAAATGGAGGATTCATTTGTTAATGACCAAATATTTCTCTATATTATCTCTATTTACACCTCAATCTCCTTAAACTGGGATAAAAATTTATAATGACTTCTTATAATCAGTCTAATGTATGTGTCTTGTTTTAAAGAATGGTCATATGTTGAGGTTTGATCATTTCCTGTGTCTTATCTTCCCTGTCTCCCAAGCCTGTCAGGTACATTAACTTGACCTATCTGACATTTGCCCCTAAATCAGAATAATCTTCCTTCAAAAAAGTACTGCTATCAAATACTATATGTGTCTTTATAGTAGAGCCATTCCTGGTCTCATCTCCATCTGGACTCATATTCTTTCTAATTTGCATTCATAATCCAGCTTAAAAATATTTTTATGTCAGTATTTATGGATAGAACTAGACTGTATGCCTCATGTGGACCAGGAACTAAATTCCACCGACACTTTTATGTATATTGTGATTAATTTTTTTATTGGTCGAGTAGTGTATAGATAAGAAGCCTCATTTGTTTGCCTGAGACTCATTAGGAGACCGCGTTATAAAGCAGAACCAGACCATTTCCAACACCTATTTTTTTTGTTGTTGTTCACCAGTAAGCCTGTAGTTAGCCATAGCTACCACTAGATGGCACTCATGGTCTAATTAGCAATGCCATTTAAGTTTTGGCCTAGGGACTTTGTTTTAGGGAACTGAAAGAGACCCCAAATTAGCAATTGAGGCAATAAGAAGAGTTGTAAAGATTAGTTAATATACAGCATCTAACATATGTTTGTGACATATTGCAAAATGTCAGCATGTTTAGTAAGCGATCTTCCACTTAGTTGCTTAACAAGAACTATTAACATTTGTTGAGGGCTGCCTATATACTAGGCATTAAAGTAGGCATGCCCTCGATGAACTGTTTCATTGTATACTAATGATCTAGCTGAAACTCAAATGCAAGGAGAATGCATCCACCATACTGTTTTTAACCTGTTCACTAAACCAATCCCCATTTTGATTTGAATAAAAAAACACTTAGATCGTCACAGAACAAGTTGTTTGTATCAGATCAGATGAACAGATCATGTGACTAGATAATCCAATGAATGGAAAATAATTTTAGCCTAAGTACAAAACCAGATAAAATACCAGATTAAATTTACTAGTTGGAAGGTTATGGCATTATCATACACTCTCAGGGATGTTCATTGAACGTTCATTCAATTAACATTTATTAGGAATCTACTATTTTAAGCACTGCACAGAGATCAATAAATATGAGATTTTAACAAAACTTTTTTTCATACACTTCAAAAAGTGAATAACTGTATATTCCCTCATTCAAATGTTTTACCTGAATAATACCTTATTTAACTTGCTAATTGGCATATAACAGCCCACAATTTGGGAGGAAAATAGATAGTTTTAATAAATGCTGTTTTGTTCGTAAGAAACTACATTTTAGTGTTTCAAAGTTATTTGCCATAAATCTTATTTATATCTAGTTTGCTATCTTTATGAGTTAAGAAAATCATTTTTCTGTTACCATGTCAAGTTCAGCCTGGCACCTAGAAATTAGACTTATGCTCTTTCTATGTGAGCCACCTTATGTTAACTGGTAAGGATGAAGGGATCAGGGCTCAGCTGGCAATTGTTTTGATGACGCAGGAGGCTCCCTCTTGAACAGCTACTTTGGCTTTGCTTGCTGACAATGGTAAAAAACTTGCTTCGTGTCTGGGAAATCTCGAGATATAATTTATAAGCTATGCAAGTACAGATACAACACCAATATTTTGTGCTTAAATAGCACCTTTCTTGTAAGGATCCTGAGCTCTCTTAATATAGCAAGAAAATTAATTAATGTATTATACCTATGTGACACCTCTTTTATACAGCAGTATTTCATGTTACACAAACTTTATATGAAAGGAAGGAGTCATAGACGGTGAACCTGCTTTCACTATAATTGTTGATGAGCTGCTCCTAGTGCAATGAAAATAAATTAGTTCAGGTGCCAAACTATGATATAATGCAATTTTATTATCAAATGTTAATTGATTATTAATTATCAGCTCGCAAAGGGCTGACAGTCCTCTTGTAGTGAAAAGAAAGGAGGCTATGTTGGACAGTCCCAAGGAAAGCCAAAAGGCTGAACAAGGTGGCATCATGTCGGCTCAGGTGTTTGTGTTAAATGATGCTTGCTAATGAGGTAGCAAGATACTGGTAAGAACCCAGCAGCAGATGAAATTATATCAGAACCAACTGGAAACTAATATGAGACAAGAAAAACATGACAGCAGTGGGTATCCTGTATTCATAGTGAGTTTTAGGACAATGCCACCAACAGTGACAAGCCCTTAAGAGTAGGAAGTATGATCATTTTACTGTGGAATGTGCAGTGAGCTCTTAGTATTAATGAAAACTGTATGTTTGACCAGGAGAAGTTTGAAAGCAGTACTAGAAAAGTCACTAAAACTGAGCTTTTTGGGTTTTAGAGGAATAACAGAAAAGAAAATCAAAACCTTTCATTTTTCTGAGAATTTTTTTTTAAATAGGGCAAAATTAACCCAATCTCCAAATTTATGGAGGACTCACAAGAAAGACTGAAACTCTATAGCCAGTTGCCAGTCTAGGCCATCAACTCTTATTCCCAGGTCTACACTGCCTGTTGGTGATCCCTTGTGCACATTGTCCTTGGCAAAGCAGAGCAAACACACACCAACCCTCAAAGGTGAGAAAGCCATGGCTATCCTCCCATCTTCTCCTCCACATCGAGAATAGAATTTCAGACCTTTTCTTCCTCCCTTTCCTTTTCTTTACCTCTATAATCATATGACCTGAATTAGAGTTCCAACTTCTCAGATTCTCTTCGACTACAGCTGACCCTTGAGCAACACGGGTTTGACTGCCTGGGTCCACTCACACATGGGTTTTCTTCCACTTCTGCAACCCCTGACACAACAAAACCAAACCCTTCTCTTTCTCCTCTTTCTCCTCAGCCTATTCAAAGGGAAGAAGATGAGAATGAAGACCTTATGATCTACTTCCATTTAATGAATGGTAAATATGTTTTCTCTTCCTCATGATTTTGTTAATAAAATTTTCTTTGCTCTATCTTACTTCATTATAAGAATACAAGCTGGGCACACTAGTTCATGCCTGTAATCCTAGCATTCTGGGAGGCCGAGGCAGGAGGATTGCTTGAGGTCAGGAGTTTGAGACCAGCCTGAGCAAGAGGGAGACCCACCCTGTCTCTACTAAAAATAGGAAAAGTTATCCAGGTGTGGTGGTGTGTGCCTGTAGTTACAGCCACTCAGGCAGCTGAGGCAGGAGAATCACTTGAACCTAGGAGTTTGAGGTTATAGTGAGCTATGATCATACCACTGCACTCTAGCCAGGGCAATAGAATGAGACTCTGTCTCAACAAAACAAAACAAAAAGCATATAATATATATAACAAAAAATGTATGGTTTTTGACTGTTTATGTTTTCAATAAGACTTCTAGTCAATAGTTGCTATTAGTAGTTAAGTTTTTAAGGTGTCAGAGTTACACATGGATTTTTGACTGTGCGGGGGTCAGTGGTCCTAACCCCTGCATTGCACAAGGGTCAATTGTAATTGGTGTCACTACAAAGTTTATCCTGATTTGTTGTCAATGGTGATAGTTACATCAAAATGAAAATATGATCTGCATGAAGGGATGGGAAATATGTGCTTTTTTTTTTTCTTTTTAAAGTCTAAATTGTTGTATATTATCTTGATATTGAGCAGAACATGTTTGTGTTTCAGATTTCACTAACTCTTGACTGCAGATAATGCACACACATTTTGTATAAGTGAAAACACAAACCATTTTTAATGTTAAATAAAGATTAACATAGCTGAAAAGAATTAGGAAATGTTCTTTTTGATGTCTCAATTGAACTTGTCTTAGTGGAGATACTGCCTTGCTCACTGAGGGCAGAAGTAAATCTAATAGAAATAGTCAAGGACTTTGTCTTTTTCTAAGTACCTAAATTTGAGGTTGCATTTTTTATTGTATATACTTAAGGTGTATAACAAGATGTTTTGATATATATATAGAGAGAGATAGATACATAGATGTATATGTATATATTATAGACATGTGTATATATGTGTGTACATATATAATTACTACATTTAAGTAAATAAACCCACCCATCACTTTCTAGAGTTAACTTTTGTGTGTATGTGTGCACCTAAAGTACACCTAAAATTTACTCTCTTAGCAAATTTTCAATATACAATATAATATTATTAACTATAGTCCTCATGTTGTGCATTATATTCATTTATTATTTTTATTATAATAGTTATTGGATTTATTCATCCTACATAACTGAAAGTTTGTACTTTTTTATCTACTTCTCCCTATTTCCACCCATCCTCTGCCCTGCCCCAGTAGCCACCTTTCAACTCCCTTTTTCTATGTATTTGACTATTTTTCAGATTCCACATATACGTGAGATTATGCAGTACTTTTCTTTCAGTTTCTGGCTTATTTTACTTAGCATTTATGTCCTCTTTTTCTTTCATTGTAAATCAGTGTTAAGATTATTTCTCGTAAAGCAAAGTTTCCAAATAAATATCTACACTCATATAAAAGTGTAAACAAAATAAAAAGTTTATTGTTACATCTTTCAGGGCAATTTGGACTTCAAAATCAAATTCTCAGCTGTAAGCCTTCTTACTGTAAAATTTACTTAATAACAGATTAAAAAGAGAAAAAGAGGGGTGTTTCTAATGTTGAAATTATACTTTATGTAAGTAAATATTTATTTCTTCTATTTTTTATCTGAGGATTTATTTTTCTTATGTTAAGCATTAATGAATGGCCTTATATTTAAGGAAATGATTCAGAAATGAATTTTTATTTATAGGATTATAATCTGAGGTTCTTTATGCCACTGCTACTTGGATAGGTGTATTTTAAATTACATCTTTTACATGGTAGATTAATTTGATAATACAGATTGTCATTTATAAATTCCAAATTTTTTAACCAAACGTTTTTATTACTGATTCCATGACACTGTGTCACAAACAAAGATATACCATCAAGGAGTTTATTGTCCAGACATGTAAACACAATGTCCAAAGTCTTTAACAGAGATACTGTCAGCATTGTGCAGGAACATGTGGAGAGCACCTTAGCCCTCACCGTGCATGGGAGGAAGCACATGACTGAGGACATACATTTGAACTGGCTTAGGAGAATGAGTAGAAGAATTGGCTAGAGTTGATTAAAAATATCTATACTTACATCTGTGTATATCTGTGTCTATATCTCAATCTTTGTGTCAGTGCCAGCATCTATATTTATATTGATATCTGTATTGTATTTATATCAATATCTACATATGTCCCATATGATAGGAGCACAGTGTGTTGCTTCAAATCATGTGCTTAGTGAATTTAAAATTAGTGAATGTGGGTAGATGCCGTAGCCCCTGGAAAGTGCAGCGCAGGAGATGGCATTGGAGTAGGTAGCAGCTGCATAAGGAAAGGGCTTCTGTGTCATCTGAAGGAATTGGAATCATTGTAAAGTTTAATCAGGAGGAGATAATTCTGTAGACTAATAGGCCTGAAGCAGAAAAATCAGTTAGGGAGCTGTTATAATATTCAAAGGCATGGATGATAAAATAATAAACTAAGAATGTGGCAGAGCAATGAACTGCAGAGGCTTTTAGGATGAGGAATAAAGAGAAGTTGGGGACTAATTGGGTGTGGGGGAGGGTGACAAAGATGAATCACTCTATAATACCTCTTTTCTTCTAAGACAGTAGAACTAGGGGAACATGGTGAACAAAAGAGAAATAGTCACTAACTTTTCAGAGCTTCACTTTCCCTGGTGTATTTAGATAAGTAAACAAGATGTCCCAATCAATCCACTGTGCTGAGTGGAATAAAAGGGGAACTCCACTTGCTCTAAAGTAGGGGTTTGGCTAGGATTGTGAATACGTAATTAGGAGATAGATAATGAGTTCAGTTTTGGAGATGGTGACATAGAAAGCTGTACTGTATGCTATGGAGTACCTGTGATTAAAGGTCAGAGATGTTGTTTTGAAAGTAATCAGGTAGAGTAGGTAGCTGATTTGAGGAATAGGAAAGATATTCCTTTTCAGAATGGCACCCAAGAAGAGGTCAGGGCCAAAGATGGAACCTTAGAGAAGACTCCATTTTACAGTCATAGAGAAATAAGAACCAATGGGAGACACTGAGAACGTAGTATCACGTAAGTAGGAGGAGAACCACATAAAAGGATTTCAAGAAAGTCATAGCAGGAGAAAATTTCAAGAAGGAAGGCATGCATAAGTATATCAAATTCAGACAAATTACATAAGGTAAGAATTGGAAACTGATTTTTGATTTAGCAGTTAGGAGTTTGGTAGTATACACAGGTGCATTACAGTTATGAAATGTGACTCAAAAGCAATGAATAACAAAAAGATCATAAAAATTTCAATAAATTAGTTTTAATAAAATAGAAAGACAAAGAAAGATTGAAAAGAAAGTTCCACATAGTACAACATTTTTTGTTTGGCTGAATTTAACTTGAGGTCAATAGTTCTAATAGTTTTAGGGTGTTTTTTTTTTTTTCCTGGGGGGGAAAATGTCATCTTATCACTCTTTTCTGTTGCTGTTGCTGCTGTTAGAAAGATTAGATCTCAGGAATTCAATTTTTGGTAACTAGTCCATATATAAAATAGACACACATGTGTTACATACACACAAAATTAATCATACTTTTTAAGGACAATCTGTTTTGTTTTTTGGAGACAGAGTCTCACTTTGTTGCCCAGGCTAGAGTGAGTGCCGTGATGTCAGCCTAGCTCACAGCAACCTCAAACTCCTTGGCTCAAGGGATCCTTCTGCCTCAGCCTCCCAAGTAGCTGGGACTACAGGCATGTGCCACCATGCCCGGCTAATTTTTTCTATGTATTAGTTGGCCAATTAATTTCTTTCTATTTATAGTAGAGACGGGGTCTCACTCTTGCTCAGGTTGGTTTCGAACTCCTGAACTCAAATGATTCACCCGCCTCAGCCTCCCAGAGAGCTAGGATTACAGGCGTGAGCCACCGCGCCTGGCCCAGCAATCTGTTCTTAAACAAAAAGCAAACTATAACACAGTGTCCTTACCACATAATGTAGACCATGATATGGTAACACAACACTTGCCAATTCCCAATTGAGATAATCAAGGCAGCTCAAATACTTAAGGAATAAATCTAAGGTACAGGAATATTTATTTTCATTTCAGATTTGTCTCAATTAGAATGATTCTCCTTGAATAAAATCCAGTTAAGATTAGTCATACCTAACATCTTAATTTCATTATTAATAACATAGTGAATGCATCTAAAACATATTGTGACATTCTTAATGGTAAAATGCTGCCCAGTATGTGTTCATTGTCACCAATGATTTGAGTTATAAATAATAAAATTTTAAAACTCAAATCACCGTTGCTAGACACAAATAAGATGCTGTATATACTATCCCTCTAACAAATAAAAATAAGGAAAGTTCTCCATCCAGGACTGAATCTATACACTTTACTTAACAAATGATTTATTAAACTCTGAAATAGTAAAATATAAATAAAAAAGAAAATATATTTCAGGTTGATTTAGGGACCTACAAAGTACATTATAATATATCCTATTTCTAGAAAAAAAAGACAAATCCATAAAGTCCTTTTGGGTTATATTCCTTTACTCAAAGAATGAACAATGCTGTTCTGAAAACATTGTATTTTTCATTCAATAGGAGTGTCTGGTATGATTCTTAACTGTTATCTTATAATCACAATTTAAAATTATTTTTGCAACTTCTTTTGAGTTGGCCATAAGTTAATTTGGCATATGCATCTTTAATACTTTTGTACTTTCTGGAAATTAATGTTTAAATTTCATCTTTCAAAATTTTTGTTTAATATATAAAAGCTGATCAGAATACATAAATTTTGGTCTATGCTTGTAGACATGAATTTTAATTAACTCAGCAGCAGCTGATAATAAGATTATTAGCATGTACAAAGTGTGCAGTTAATGGAAGCAGAACTAGAGGCAATTAGTGGAATTAGGTGTTTTTTCTACCGAGAAAGAGTATCCTAAATACTAATTGTTTATGCCAGTCCAATCACTGCAAATATCACTAATAGCATCATTAAATCAATGTAACACTACATTATAAGCACTAAATAGACTTACTGATTTGGTGTTAGATTGGCACAATGATGAGCATATTATTTTTTCCTATGACTTGTGACTTATATGTATACACTGAGGCATCTTGGTTATTTTGTAATCAACTTTTATTTTTATTTATTTTTGAATGATAAAAACATGCTTATTCTGCCATGGGTGCAGTTTCACTTTGTCATGATTTAATTGTGCATTTAAATCACACACATGTAAATAAAACTTGGTGATTTGGGGTTTTTAATTAATTATTTTATGCATTTATTTTTCATTAATAAAGCTCTCGAGACTGACATGAAATAAAAATGTGTCTTATGATTGGAAAAATGAAATTTAAAAATTTCATATTAATTATTACTTTTTTAACTTGAAGGTCCATATATTTTCCTTTTCACATTTCATCATATCCAGTGATAGCTAGATATCCATTGTGGTTTTGAGGATAGTTGCAGGGGACTTCTGATCTTTGCTGTAATTTATTTATTTCTATGAAAGAGACGTTGTTGTCTCTATGACATGGCCAGTGAGACACAGAGAACTAACATACTCCCTTCAGTTGTTTGCAATATGTTCTTTGTTCTTGTTTCTTTCTTTTATCTATCCTTCTTCCTTTATCTTCTCCATTCTCCTATTTTTACTTCCTTAGCAAAGTTATACATGTAGCTAAAACAAAACAAAACAAAACAAAACAAAAACCATGGCCTCTGTATTCTGAAAAACATATTTATTTTAAAAGTTTTTATGACTGAGATTCTCAAAGTTTATGGTTTCAGGACCACTTTGCCTTCTGGAAAAACAGATCCCTCAAAGATGCTCTGATGAGTGTTTTTATTACTATTTACCATTTAAGAAATTAAAAATAAAAATTTTTAATTATGACTATTAATCATTTAAATAGCAATGATGAACCACTCTATGCTAGTATACGGTATTTTAATTTAAAAATACTATATTTTTTTAAAACAAAAATGATAAAAAGGGTAACATTTTATAGTTGTCAAAACTTTAAAAATATCTACCTTAAAAGAACATAGTCTTTCATATATGTTTCTGCATATAATCCGTTGCAACACTGCATGGGATATAGCTGCTGGAAAACTCCACAGAACACTCATGAGACAACTGAAAGCAAAAAAGTAAATAACATCATAGCATTGTTGTGAGTATAGTCTGGCTGCATGTACCCCTGAAAAAGTCTTTGGGATTCCAGTGTCCTAGGATCACCTTTTAGAAGTCACCAGCTTTAGGAGGGCACATTTTATAAAACAGATGATTTTACTAATTGTACCAAAAGATTGATCTAAAAAATTAAATATATATATTTACTAATTGTACCAAAAGATTGATTTTAAAAATTAAATGTATATATGTACCAAAAGATTGATTTAAAAAATTAAATATATATTAAACATATATATAGCCACATATATATTTACACATCTTGATTTCAGTCTTCACTTATATCCATTTAAATAGCTAACATGTATTCATGATGTTGAAAGCATTTTGCTATCTAGATTCTGGGATTATAACGCTCCAATGGTAACTTTTTTGAGCTAACATTTTCTAAAAGGTTGTTTTACATGACTCACTAAGCATGTGCTTCAGCAATGTAACATAAAATTCCATATAATAAGTGGGAAATTATCAGTAAAATTAAAAGTATTCTAAAATTATACACATACACACACATCTTAATAAATTAAGAGAATACAACATAATGGAGCATTTACTTTTTAGAAATTTTTATTCTAAGGACAAAATGAATCAAATGAACCCACATAAATTTAAGCTACCTCAGCCAAATCTGAGCATAGCTGTAATTAAATAATCACCAGACTTGCTTAGAAAAATTGAATGGCAGTTTAAGTATTTAAGACTCTCTAAAGCATTAAAGGAGCAAATCTCCTCCTAAGACACAGGCATTTTTAATACTGTCTATTTCCAGTTCTCTCACTCTGCCCCTATCCGCAACTCCTCTCAAAATTTCATAAGCCACCAGTCACCATCAAAAGCTCTTATTTTCCAAATAACCCTAGTCTGAGATCACATATGATGCTGTTTGAGTTTGCTTAATCCTTCTGTTTTTTTACTTTCTCATTATTCTCTTCTTATTTCATTTTACAGCAAGTCTGCAACAATGTGACTGTTGATTTCCTGCCTTTGCCAATTCTACTTTCCCTCCCATTACCAACAATGGGGACAGCAAAGGCCCAGGGACCCAGCGGACAGAAATATAATCTCCTGCAGTGGGTGAGGTGGGTAGGAGGAAGACCATGAATTCTTATAATTTTTGTTCATTTTTTAAAAGCAAAATGATGAATTCCAAAATGTAAAATAAAAAGATGTTAATACAACTTTACTTCTGTCCATGTAATAAAATATATGATTATGGTTTCAGCTCTTTTATAGAAATATTTTTACTTAGTTCTGGATTCGTAGCCATTCTGAAAGATTGATCAGTGCATAACTAAGAATGCAATAATCTCAAGATGCTATATTCATGAAGGAATGATGAATAGGTGTAAGGGAAAATGCGGTTGTATGGGCAAAAAGGTTTCTTAGGCCAAACTAAGATGACTGCTGCAGTGTTTTTTCCCCCACCGGACAACCCCGGCTAGCCAGCCTTCCAGGGAGGCGTGAGTCAGCACACTTATGTAACCCAGGTGTTATCTACTGTGTGAACCCATGTGATCACGCTTTTCCGTGGCATGTTGCCACTATTGTTCAGAGCCATATATAAGCGCTCACCATGTTCTGGGCCATGCTTTTCACCACTGCTGTATCCTCGTCCCATCCCCCAACTTCTCCAGCCTCCACCTCCCTCTCCCCAATAAAGAGCATGTCTCACCTACCGGCTGCCACTTGCCTTTTCTTCCAATTTCCAAAGCCTGCGCCAGAGTTTGCGCTAGCCACAGAGCTCGCTTCTCACAGTAGTGGAGTGTTTTGAAGGTACTACCAAGGCATGACATAGTACCTCTATTTCTGTCCATTTGGGGAAATTTTTTTTTAGCTCACTCCTCCATGAGAAAGTTACTCTCCTGCAGCAAAAAGAAGTTTTATGGGAATGTCCCTATTCTATTCATTAACAAAGAAAGGAAGATACAGAATGCAGAAAAAAGACCCTCTGTTTTGAGAGGGGTGTAGCACTGCAGATTCATTTCTAAATTAATAACCATAGATATCAATTAGCAAAGTATAATATATAGGATAAAAACAAAATCTTACTGATTTTGTTGATAATAAGCAAATAAATGTTATATTTATATAAATTATAAATAAATTTATAAACAAAGATCAGAACTTTCAGAAAATACAGTAAAACACTATTCTGATGCTATAAATGATATTCAAAAAAATCAATTTTGTAAAATAGACAGTCACATTAATGAGCATAGTAAGGGAGTAAGTTTGCATTGGTGTTTTATTCACATTCATAATATCAACTGACACGTTAGTAAAAGCATCTTAAAAGTAGATATAACAAGCTAATTGAAAAAACTGTAGGAGAGGATTTATCACATTCTAGGACAGTAATTTTTTGAAAAGACACAAAAATTATAAGTCATTAGATTAATAATGATTTCAATAGAAACTAATTGATGTTAAGAAACAAATTTAACTCAGAGAAGATGTTTATTCCATCTAAAATGGCCATGGGATGCATATTGTAACATACTAAGATTAAATAAAACATAATTAGTAAAACCAATAGAAGATGATCAAGGGATATTAGTGAGCAGGTAACAAAAACATAAGTCTGAATGACTAATAAGCATATAAAGAGATACTCTAATTTACTAAAAATTAGAGAAATCCAGGTCATAAACAATTGTAAAATTCTAGCTTCCATGTGCTTTGAATGGTAGAAATATACATCATTTTTATTATATTAATGGTTATTGCAAGAACAAAAGGAAATGGATTTTAGGCACCACTGTAAGTGTGTAAAATGAGCCTTTGTAGAATCCAATTAAGCAATATTTCTATTTGTTTGTAGCCTCTTTAATTTCTTTCATCAGTGTTTTGTGGTTTTCTATGTATAAGTCTTTCACCCCTCAGTTATTTATTTCTAGGCATTTTGTTTGTAACTATTATAAGTGGGATTACTTTCTTGATTTCTTTTTCAACAAATACATTATTAGTGTTTAGAAACACTACTGATTTTTGTATATTGATTTTGTATCCTGCAATCTACTGAATTCATTTATTAGTTCTAATTTTAGTATATGTGCTGTCAAAGCAAGCACCATTTATTAGTTCTAAGAGTTTTTTGGTGAAGTCTCTTAGGTTTTTCTATATAAAAATTATAATGTCTGCAAAGATAGACAATTTGACTTCCTTTTGCCTAATTTGGATGTCCTTTACTTATTTCTCTTGCTTCTTCAGTCTGGCTAGGACTTACTGTACTATGTTAAATAGGAGTGGTGAAAGTGGACATCTGTGTCTTGTTTCAGTTCTTAGAGGAAAGGCTTTCAGCTTTTCCCCATTCATTATAATGTTAGATGTGAGCTTGTCCTATATGAACTTTGTTATGTAGAGATATGTGTCTTCTATACCTAATTTGTTGAGAATTTTTATCATGAAGTAATTTGTTGAATATTATGATGTTTTTTCTGCCTCTATTGTGATTATCCTATGGTTTTCATTTTCAATTCTGTTGATGTGGTGAATCACATTTATTGATTTGTATGTGTTGAACCATCCTTGCAAGTCTTGGGAAGTTTTCAGCTATTATTTTGTTAATAGGATTTCTATGCTTTTCCAATCCTTTTCCTTATGGAATGCCCCAAATTTGAATATTAGATTACTTTATGTTGTTGTCTCATGTGTCACATAGGTTTTCTTTATTCTTTTTTATTCTCTTTGTCTCTCTTCTTTTCTTTTCTTTCTCTTTTTTGTTTGGTCTCACTGGGTTATTTTCAAAAGACCCGTCTTCAGGTTCACTAATTCTTCTTCTGCTTGATCTAGCCTATTGTTAAAGTTTTAAATTGTATTTTTTATTTCATTTCGCTAATGGAATTCTTCATTTCCAGAGTTTCTGTTTGTTTAGTTTAATGATGTATAGCACCTTGTTGATTTCTCATTCATCACGAATTGTTTTTCTGATTTACTTGTATTGTTTATCTGTGTTCTCGTTAGTCACCGAGCTTCTTTCTTTTTTTTTTCAGGTTTCATTATTTATTTATTTATTTTTATTTCGGCATATTATGGGGGTACAGATTTTAAGGTTTCAATAAATGCCCATTTCCCTCCCTCCCCCCACAAGTCTGAGTCTCCAGCATGCCCATCCCCCAGATGGTGCACATCTCACTCATTATATATGTATATACATGCCCTCCCCCCTCCCACCTGCCCAATACCCTATTACTGTAGTACCTATGTGACCACTTAGGTGCTGTTCAGTTAATACCAATTTGCTGGTGAGTATATGTGGTGCTTGTTTTTCCATTCTTGGGAAACTTCACTTAATAGTATGGGTTCCAGCTCTAACCAGGAAAATATAAGATGTGGTATGTCACCATTGTTACTTAGAGCTGAACAGTACTCCATGGTATACATATACCACATTTTATTAATCCATTCTTGGATTGATGGGCACTTGGGCTGTTTCCACAGCCTTGCTATTATGAATTGACTCACCGAGCTTCTTTAACATCATTATTTTGAATTCTTTATCAGTCTATATATATATTTCTTTTTCATTGGAGTCTGTCGTTGAAGAATAATTATGTTCCTTTGCAAGTATCATATATCCTTGCCCTTTTATGTTTCTTGTGTCTTTACATTGATATCTACACACGTGGTATAGCAGTAACTTTTTCTAATTTTTTGAATTGGTTTTTGTAAAAAACCTTTTTTGCAAAGGTTTTTTGCATCTACAGCAAAAGACTTTTTGCTGTAGATGCATCTATAGTGTTGGTTGTATAGGATCCTTAGCTTTGATTCTGGGTATGTACAGTAGAGTAGTCTCTAATTAGCATCAGTGGTGTTTGTGATTTCTTCAGTGGGTTAGGCTACATTTGTTAGTGGCAGTTGTTGTGAAGGCTTACTGAGGAAGGAGACACCAGGCAGGCTAGGCTGGAGCCCTTATGGCAGTGACAGTAGGCCAAGTGTACCAGCCCTAGATCCCAGTCAACATATGTGGGCTGGTGTTAGCAGATTTGGGTAGGCTGATTATTGGATAGCCAAGCAACTTCCTTTGGTGCCAAGAGTGGCAGCAGTAGTTTGGTTGGGTGGTTGCATTTTAGGTCCCTGGGCAATCTTGATAACAGTATAATAGTAGCAGTGGAGGGCAAACTCTCAAGCTTGCAGGTTGCATGGGCTGGTGCCAGTGATAGGTTGCACAGTCCAATCACAAGGCCCCGAGGTGATATGTGTGAGTGGGTTCCAGCAGTGGTAGTGACTGTAGGTTGGGTGGGTCCATCCTCAGGTCCCTGGGGGTGTATGTAAATGTCATCAGTAGTGGGTGAAGGGGTGATCCGCAAGAAAGCGGTGGTTGCCAAATCACATATAGCCTTGAATTACACTGAATTTTACCCAAATGTAATGAGGTACAACTCAAGTATTTTAAGAAAATGTGACATGTCAGATTTATGTTCTATAAAGGAAGCAGGAGGCAGCTTTAAGGATAAGTTAGAAAACAGCAAGAAGGAGTAAATTCCTAGCATCATGGTAAATAATAGATGTTTAAAAATGAAAAAAGTAATTGTTAGTATAAAAGCAATATTATATTTTCTAAACTTAAAGCCATAACACAATTATAAGTATTTTATTACTAATTATAAAATTATATTATTATGTAAGGGAAGTAATACAAAAATCCCTAAAGTAGTTTTTAATCATGTTTTTGTTTCCCCAAAATAAATTATTTCATTAGAGCCATGTTACTAATTTAAGAATTTTTAATTGATGATATGGCTTAAATAATTTTTTACGCTAGTACATAATAGACCAATTATGCAATTAGTAAAAATTTAATAATTCAAGTGACAATTTTTCAAATTATTGCATTTAATAAGATTTATAGATTAATATTATTATGCCTTACAATATTTTTTAAATTTTACTTTATAACTATGAGCCATCTGCTCTTAACCCTTAATGTAAAGCTTCATAATATGCCCCCTCCAGAAGGACTTATGAATATAGAAAATAATATAATAATTGGCCCATTTGCTTTCATTAATTATAAAATTCAATATAGTTATTTCAATAATTAATATTCATGTGATTTTATATTTAATAAGCATTAAACTTAATAAGATTTTGGTACTATATTGCCATCTGTATGGAGAGATAATTGAATAAAACAAAGCAAGCAAACTCTCCATTTTGCCATGTTATATATTTCACCATCTTAAAAATTTTGGTTTAATACTCTGGCTTATTGTTTGACAGTTGAAAAATGTCCTTTACATTTATAGAAAGCACACTTTCATTCACTATGTGCAAATCTGGAGAAAGGTGAAGAGGAACAAAGGGCATTCTCACGCCAGTCTTGCCTTCATGTATTAGTCAGTGTTCTCCAGAAAAACAGAGCAAATAGGAGATATAGATATAGATATGAGGAAAATTATTGTAGGAATTGGCTCATGTGGTTATTGAAGCCAAGAAGATCCATGATCTGATATCTGCAAGATGAAGAACAAGAAAAGCCTGCAGTGTAATTGAATCCAAGTCTGAAACCTTGAGAAAGGAGGTAGCATGTGGGGAGTAGAAGGATGTGGGGAGAGATGAATGATACAAAGTGTAAAATATAAGTCCATATCTAAACCTAAAAAGCTTCTGCACAGCAAAAGAAACAATAAACAGAGTTAATAGACAACCTGTTGAATAGGAGAGAATATTTGCAAACTATTCATCTGACAAAGAACTAATATCCAGAATATACCAAAAGTGTAAACAACTCAACAGTAAAAAACAAACTAACCCAAATAATCCCATTAATTAGTGAACAAAGGAACTGAATATACATTTCTCAAAAGAAGACACACAAATGTCCAACAGGTATATGAAAAAATGCTCGCCATCACTAATT